CCTCACGAGGGGCCCGCGTCCCCGCTGACACCCAGCCCAGCGCCCGCAGAGCGTGTTCACCACACAGGCACCCCGCAGCCACGGCTTCGCACCTGCTCCCCCCTACACAGCGTGTCCTCATCGAACACACTCGGGCCCTCGGAGCAGGCTGGGGACGCAGCCTGGCAAGCACAGCACAGGGGAGGAGAAACAACATCCTTAACCTCTGGTGGAGTCAGCGCTGCTGCCTGCTCTGTCCTCCTGACCCACAGTCTCACCCCAAATCAAAGCTGTCTCTTACCAGCACAGCTACCACCCGGCAGGCAGGGAAGGACCTGGACATTTCTTGCTGCAGAGTACAACAGAAGCAAGCTCACCATGGCTGCAGGACTGCCCATTGGCACCTGCTCAGTTGATGCAGCCCTCCTCACCCCACAGCCTCCAGCCCCTGGAGCTCAGCTTCTAACCAGCCCCTGCACAAAACCTTGGCTGCTCTCCCTGCTGAGCTCAGGTCTGCAGCTGGGTTCAGAAGGGCACTCTAGCCAGGTTTGATCTCAGGCTGGCTCCAGGAGGGACAGGGTTGGGACTGACACCCCAGGACAACTGGAGGTCTCTGTGTTTTGGAACATCTTGCATCTTCCAGGCACCACGTCACCAGCTGGAAGACAAAGGTCGGAGCCCAGAGCTCTGTGCCAAGTGCTGCTTGCCCGCCCAGTGAATGGCTGGGAAGCAGCACGTCTGACACTTCAGCTCAGAGAAGAGAAATCCCAGGGCTGAGAGGGGAAGCCTGGAGGCAATGTTCTAACCTGCTCCTGGGAAAAGCAGCCCAAACAGCTTCTCCCTAAACTCCCAGTCAGTAAGACCAAAGCTGATCTCTCCCTCCAGCAGGAAATCCCCACCAACTCCTCTCCTACCACATTGTGACTTTCATCAGATTTACCTGCTTCGCAGCCCAGAAGACAGCAGTATCAGTTCAGCTACATGAGAAACACATCACCAAAAACCACCCAGTATGGCAAACTCTGCCTCCCCGCAAGACTGCGGTTTCACTTGTGCCATCCTGGTCTGTCCCCTCAGCTCAGGAGGCTTTCAGCAGCCAAGAGATCGCATGGACCTCACCCCCCACGTCCTGATTCTCTAAAACAACTCGGTAATCAGCTCAAATCTTTGGGGAGGGGAAAGGGGGATCAAAGCATTTGTGGAAATGGAGCCTGGCCACGAAGAGCTTCTCATCTGTGTCACACAGTTGTAAGTTTAAGCACTTTTCCAACACCCACAGACAGAAGCTCCACCAGGAAAGACAGTAACCACACTACAGCTTAATTTTCAGCAATATTCAGACACTCGGGACTAACACTGGTGCCAGACAGCAGGTAAACTTGCCTCTCTTGTCAGATGAGCCACAAGAGCAACATAAGTTCTGACCACAGGATCCAATTCCAGAGCTAAATCCCATCAGTCTCCTCCTAAACTTGGACAATTCTCCCTTGTGTTACTTCTCTACCAGCTTTGCTGGAGGAAGGAAAGCACGATGTTTTCCCCATTCAGGTAACTGAGTTACCTGGTGTCGGCTGCTCAGCAAGAGGCCCAAGCTGCCCATGCTCCTGCAGCACGCCTCTACAGAGAGGCATTTTCTGGGCAGGCATTACTACTTAGTTGCACCAGCCGTGCATTTTTGCCTTCAAGACCAGCAGCACCTTTGCCTGTGTGCCAAAATCCTCCTGGAGAATTTGGAGAGATTCCAACTCAATCTCTCGGTCAAGCTTGGCGAAAATGATGGCAGCATCAAACGACAGCACATGGCAAAGGCAGCCACTGGCACCACCACACCACAGCGCCACGCAACAGCTCAGAGAGCACAGAGAGCGCAACACGAGGGGACACAACGGAAGCCAGCAAGGTCGAGAATAAGTCACTTTTGGTACAATTGCAAAAAGATATCAAACAGGACTTGCCTCTTTTTTTGTCTTTTTCTAAGTTTTATAAATAAAGTCTGATAACTCTTTATAAAAACTAACCTCAGAGCCACAAACAGTTTGCGGGAGGTTCATGAGAAACTTTAAAATTATTTATTTATTAACTTTTAACTATCAAAGTCTCCGAGAATATTTCCCCATTCATATGGTCAAATATTCTCGCCCTCTCAGTTAAAAAAAGCTGACTATAAATACGCTCTCTCTTCTGTCTGATTTTAATTTTAAACTTAGATAATTTAATAACTCTTAAAATGATGTTTCTCTCTTTAAATAAAAGGGCTATTTAACCACATAAACTGGTTGTGTAAACCATCACACTAGAGACACTTGATACCCTCAAAACACGGGAACAACTAGTGATTTTGGTCTTGTTCAGTGCAACGCATTAGGCACAAAACCGGCCTGCAGTCAACGTGGTACCTTCCCTCCCTCCCCTGGGGTGCTGGGCCCCTGCAGGGACCCTGTCCCAGCTCCTCCCCATTGCTGGCGCAGCGGCAGCTGGGCACGACAGCATCTTCCTTTCCACCACTGCTAGTTTACACGGCTAACGCAACGGAAAGGAAGGAAGGAAACCCACTGTTAGGGCACAGAGGCACACCTAGAAAGGAATAAAAACCTATTACACAGAACACCCCAACTGCAACTATGGGTACCAAACGAGACAAAAGCAGCAGGTTCAGGTGCCTGGCAGTCAGGCATCGAGATGCACCACCTGGAAGAGTAATGAAATAAAAGCCTTTGGACATGACTGAAAATTAGGGTTCCCAGCCCCCAGGAAGAAAGCCTCCCTCCGGACCTTCCCCAAGCCCTTCCGTCACCCTGCCATCGGCCACGCCGCACAGACTTTCTTTGGCTAGAAAACCAAGATCTCGCAGTCTGTCCCATGGGCACCCAAGGGCCACAGACCGCTGGGTGGGAGGCTCTGTCTGCACAGGACAAGGGACGCATCACCACTGCTCATACCAATCTGGACACAACAAAATAAAACTGGAGTGATCAGCAGGCCAGTCCTGGGCCAAGTAGAAGGAACCCGGACCCATGTGGGGAGGGTTTGTGCTTTGGGGATTCCAGGCTGGTTTTGTGCCTAATTGCCCTGCACAGACAAGCTCAGGCAACACTCGCTTCACTAAGACCGGGCGTCCGTTTTGGATTTCACTATTGTGATGACACTGGTAGTAGCAACCTTGCCAGGGACAAGGGGCCCCATACTGGAGGTGAGAGGTCCCCGCGCAGGGGTCACGGGGCTCCGGGCCACGGTTCTGGCGAAGTTCTGGAGGGCCTCGTATTTGGAGCGGAGAGCATCGAGTTCCATTTTCATGCTGGCGTTCTCGGAGGCCAGCTTCTCCACTTCTTGCTGCAGCTCTGCCTTCTGCTTCTCCAGTTCCTCCTTCTGGGTAACGCGCTTGACTCTGCAGCTGGCCGCGTAGCCCCGGTTCTTCAGCGTGCGCCGGCGCTGCTTCAGCTGGATGATCTCCTCCTTCGACAGACCCCGTAGATGCTGGTTCAGCTCCCGCACAGACATGGTCACCAGCTCCTCATCTGTCAAGCTGGTCCCATTCTCGCCTGGCTCCCGCTTCACCTGGAAGAGAAGGCAGCACACACTTGTGAAACCTGGACAGATGCCTGCATCCAGCACCCACACCCCTTTCCTCCATCTGCCACTTTACCTTCAAGGCCTTGTTTCCTTTGTTGGGGGTCGTCATAACACGACAGCCTTGTCAGTCAGGTTCTGGAAAGGAAGGAAGGTCAGGTTAGCCCTCCAGGATGCAGCAGAGCCTGTGACATTCCCGTGCCAGGGTCCAGCAGCAAGGCCCCGTGCTGCTGCACATCCACTCCCCCCTCCCTGGACAACGCTCAACAAGGACCCAACTGAGTTGGACTCACAAGTGGCAGATTCTGTCCCCAAGCAGAAACTGCTGCCCTTCCACACCTCTACTCCTACAGAGACTTTGTGGCAATGCTTTTTATTTTTTTTGTTTGGGGTGGGAGAAATTAAAAAACTAGGAGGAGTCAGAATACATGGAAGCCACATTTTTAAAAATAGCCTGACAAGCAGCAGGCTGGGTCCAGAGCACGGCTGCTCCGGGCCAGTCATGCTGACTCAGCAGGCTGGCACTCTGCGCCTCTTGCTCCCAGCCTTATCCTTGTCACTCCCCAGCAGAGCGAGGCAGCCAGCCGCTCCCTTCCAACAGGTGCCCAAACACAGCCCAGAAACTCCCCAGGACAAGAGTCCTGACAGATTCTAGGTGCCCCCAAGGATCCAAACCACTACGGTTCAAGAACACATGACCCTGGGCAAGGAGCCTTTGCCTCCACAACACACCTCGCCGGGCACCCTGCGGGATCAGAGAACACCCCTGCTGTGCTCATGCCCCTCCAAACTTCTTCTGCTTTCCAGGGAACACAACACATCCAGGTTCAAGTCAAAGTTCTGCACCCAACCTTTCCCAAGAAGGACAACCTGATACCGCAGCACAAGGAAGCACCTGGGCACACGGGAATCCCATAACAGATTTGGGCCAATGCCTCAGCAGCCTTCACCTCACCTGGTCACACAAAGCTGACCCCAGCTGTAGGTCTCTTCTGCAAGAAAGTCCCTACTGACCCTTGGCAATGCTAGGATATGGAACCACCTCCTCATCTTTAGAGCCAAGGTATGCTCATAAGAAATCAACGATAAGGGTGGCCAAAACCAGAGTAGCGCAGACTCCTTCACTGCCACGGAAGACAGGACATCAAAACTGATAAGAGCAACTCCCAGGTCTGTTTTTACAGTCAATCATACCCAAGCTCCTGCTTCTGTCCCTACATACCTCCTCCTCTCAGGCTTTAGTTCAGAGCGCTCCTACCCTGCCCAGTGAATTCATCTGCTCAGATACTGCTTGACAGACATCGATGCACCTCAAACAGCCAGGAACTGCACATCTCCTTAAGCAAGGTAAGCATTCCTCTGCAAGCACAGCCTACAAACACCTTTTGTCTATTCAGTACCACTCAACAAAAATTGTGTTTGCTACCACTTTGCTAAATGTAAGAGGCACTGATGTACAGTTATAGCCAAGAACCAGATGCACAAGTCAGCAAATACGAATTTATGTTCTTCTAGCAGCTGTGGCACCAGCTTCCCACAATCCATCTACCACCTATTAGAGGTGAACAGGGTCAGCGTTCCCCAAGACACCGGCAGAGACGTTCCCAAAGCCTCCAGCCTGCCAGGACGCAGGCTATTTATACCCAGAGAACAATGCTCCTTCCAATGAGACGTCCGCTACAACCTGACAGTGCTGGTGGAGAAAGGGTCACTTTGCCACTCGAGGAGGGGAGCTGCACTGAAGCAGGATGAATAGCACACAAGCAACTGCTTCATAAAACAAGATATTCACTCTTTCTTTCCTCTGCTCCTACTTGGAAAACAACACAGCTGCTGGGAAAAGATGAGAAGGAAGGGAGCAGCTGGGGAGACCACTGATGTCACCCCTGCAGCACCTCTCTGCACCATCCTCTAGCAAGCGTACGGAGCCAAGGGCAGGTATGGTCAGCGGGACTGCAGAAATTTGCTTGCCTTGTGGCACTAAAGAATTTCCAGCTGCTTGGCAAGCACTCAAGCTTCCCTCATTACAGCAGAGCTGAAACAAAACAAACAAGGCAACAAGCGTGCTGCATCAGGCAGGGTGTTGGGAAGAGAGCTCCTTGGGGCAGGCTGGGGAAGCAGCAGGGCTGCTTGCACAGTCCAGACCATGCAAAGTCCCTTCCCAAGGGGATCCACATGAGACACAGCAACACACAAGTCAGTCAACAGAATGGGAAGAATGATGCAGAGACTAGCTGTTGGCTATTTTTTGGGTCGCCTTTGAAGGATCAGAGACAGGTTTAATTGGCAGCTTGCAGAGAGGACACCCAGAGAACTGGCACAATGACAGAGATCAGACTTGGCCTAACTCTCCAGACTGCTGATTGCTCAGCTTTTGATAGCTTCCTGAAGAAAGATCACACTGAAAAGTGCCAAACGCAATGACTGCAATGAAGAAAATGCAGCCTCAACACATTTCCCCAGAGCTCAAAAGGCCTGAACTCAGCACAAGTGCAGCCAATTCTCTCCTCGGCTCAAAGGCAGCGTGAGGGAGCTGACAGCACCACGCATGATTCAACGCAGGCCCCATTCTCCACATTCCTGATCGCAGAACCGTGCCACGAGCCCGTGTAAACACGGTGACGTCACCCGTTCCAGCGCAGGCTGGCCCGGGGACAGCGCGGAGAGGGAAGTAGAGGAAGGGGCTGCGCTTCACAGCGCCGGGCGGGCAGAGGAGCGTGGTTTGCTGGCAGCGGCTGGGCACGCCGCAGGAGAACTCTCTCCCGGTGTGGGTTTCGTACTCTATTTGCTTTCTGGAAAATTAGCTCACGCAGCCCTCCCAGGAAGCCAAACAAACCAGATGACTCCCCCAGTTACACACGAAGCCAGGACAGTGGCTCTCCCACCACCCCCTCTCCCCTTGGAGTCCCCGGTGAGCTCACATCCAGCCCAGGGCCTGGTGACAGCAACACTTCTCTCAAGGAATCAACCCACCCAAACTGTTTTAACACTGTGTACACAGAGAAAGGAAAGAGCTGGCACTGGGGAGCCCCTTCCAGCCTCCCGGGAGTGCTTTCCTCCAGCCACGCAGCTCAAGTGTTGCAGATCCTGGGCATTTGGAGAGGACCCCAGCTCTGGACAGCAAGAGCCCCG